GCCGCGGACGCCCAGCCAGGCCTGGCGCCTCCCTGCCCTCCCTTGCACGAACCGGCGTGCAGCCAGGGCCCCCCAGCCTCTCGCCCAGATGCGGGGTCCACCAGCCGGGCGCTCAGAGCCTGTTCTGCTCCACTCAGCCCCAGCCCTGGGCGCGGAGGGCTCTCCGCTTTCTCCTCTGCTCCGCACGGGAAGCCCCACATGACCCAGAGCCGGTTGAAGGGATGAGGAGTGCCGGGGATGGGGTGGAGGCTGAAGGGCGAGGGTCTTGTGGGTCGGGTCCAGCCCCTCACTTCTGTCCTGGGGCAGAGGAGATATTGTCGCAGGTATGAGAATGTCCCCAGGCCTCCCTGGCGGTGGCTCAGCGGGTGTGAGGATGGACTGGGCCGGGTGAGGCTCCCAGTGTGGGGTCAGGTGGGTGAGCAGCCCTCACTGAGGGCAAAGAGACTGGGCGGGGCGCGCGTGGTGGCAGTGCCTGTGATCCCAGCTACTGGGGAGGCCAAGACAGGAGGATCATTTGAGGCCGGGAATTCCAGACTGGAGTGAACTGTGATCATGCCTGGGTGATAGAGCAAGACTTTTTATCTAAAAAAATTAATTAATTAAAAAGAGACTGTGGGAGGGAGTGTGGTCCCCTGCTCTTTAGAAGTCAGCACAGCCCTCTCTAGTTTTGCATTGCTGTCCTCTGCCCGCTTCTTCCCATGCCCCACCCATATCCCTACTCCCACTGGGCCTACTCACGGGGTAGCAATGCCCCCAATACCAACCTGTCACCACCGTCAGGCTGAGGAGGGGCTGCAGGGGCCTCCCCCAGGGCTGAGGATGCTGGCCACTCTGGTCTCCAGGCTGGGCTGGCCCGGAACTCACCAAAGGCCAGGGTCTGGGGTCTCCCTGGAGGCGCCTGGTAACAAACAGCCCCTCCCCTTCTGGGTGTCCATGGCAACAGCATAGAGCCCTTTCCTCCCCAGGCAGGCTTGGAGCTCAGGCCTCAGGTGAGTGCTGGGGGTGAGACCTGGATTGGTGGGACACAAGGAAGCTCACAGGCAGAGGCCTGTGAGTCCTCTTGGTCTATCGCTCAGGCTGGAGCGCAGTGGCATGATCATAGCTCATTGCAATCTGAAATTCCCAGCCTCAAATGATCCTCCTGTCCTGGCCTCCCCAGTAGCTGGGATCACAGGCACTGCCACCACACTCGGCCCGCCCAGCCTCTTTGCCCTCAGTGAAGGCTGCTCACCTACCTGACCTCCAAGCTGGGAGCCTCAGGTGGCTCAGTCCATCCCCTGAGCGTTGGGGCAGGTGATAGGCAGAGGTGACAGGGAGGACACACCAGGGACATGTTGCCTGGGCAGTGACCCGTTCCCCTGGTCTGGTTAGGAACACAGGGGTGTGGACACCCATGTGATCAGTTTGGGGTCCTATGGGGAAGACATGCCCACTTGTGGACCTCCTCAGAGAGTCACGCCTAGCAGTGCTGCCGGGACCGCTCCAAGTGTGTGTGGGAGAGCCCCCCGGGGGCCCGCACGGGGGCCACACGGCAGACTCGGCCCCACCACCTCTCCCAGCTCCCCAAGAACATCGAGAATGGCCCTTGAGTCTGACCAGGAGCCTGAGGAAGCCGAGGAGGGGGCTCCCCCACCCTTAACAGACGGAGAGCCAGTCAGCGGTGACCTGGGGCCTCCAGCTGGCACACCCGCAGACCCCGAGGCTCCCACGTGCCCATCGGATACCCAGCCCCACTGCTCACGGGTGGTCTACTCCAACAACCCACAGTAAGGAGGACAGGGGGCTGCCAGCCTCCGGGCCAGCCGGCTGGAGGGTCAGGCCTACTAAGCAGCAGGGGTGCTGGCACTGCAGGTTGGCCCTTGAGTCCCTGGACCCCCACACCTTGCAGCTGCTGTGGGGGCAGCG